ACGCTTTGTTCTAAGTACTTTTCCTACTTATTACTTTAACGAATATAAAACACCCGTACAATCTTTACCTTTATTGCAACGTTATCGTTATGCCAAGGAAGGAGCTTTACGAAGAAGAGTTAGAGAAAGCTTACGATAGGCGTTCCCGGTAGAAGACAAGGGTCTTGTACTATCGGTATCGTAGGCAGAAGCCTAGAGCTATCGTAAGACAAAGAGAAGAAGAAAGACACGAAGAGAAGTATCGTTCCCCATCGCCAAGCACTAACTATCCAAAGAGGGATCGTTACACTAACTTCAATTTCTTAAACTTATTAGAAATCATAGATATCATAATATCCAAGTTACTATATATTACCCTCATTTAAGATAAATTCAAATTTTAATCTCTAACCTATTAGAAATATAAATATCAGTATTAAAAGGTTTTTTCTACTTTTTTAAATACTGCTAAACCCAATCCCTAAGATTCTTAAAGTTATGAAATAATTTATATTTGATATTTAGTTTTTCGAGCATCTTTGTACAGTACTTAGTTTCTTTTTAAAGAAAGTAACAAGTCTATAGCTAATTGAATATAACTCATAGTATAAATAAATCACAATAGTGAAGTATAAGAATCAAGGTTATATACAAACTCAGATTCTAGTAGTATTATAGGATTTTAATCTTTTTAAATATATTAAAATACTAGTAAAAAGCTAATTGCTAGATAACTATTATTTTTTACTTTAGTAATTCTCTCTTCTGATAAGATTGATAAACTTTCCAGCATTCCTAAACTAATTATTCTTGTTTCTTGAATTTATAAACTAGTACTACAACATTTATTAACTGTCCTCTTTTCAGATTTTATGTCTTGCTTACTGGGTTCTCATATCTTTATCAATCTACCCTTCACATAATACAATATTATCAAAATTAAGCATGAAAAGAAGAAGAAATTTTTTTGTTAATAACAGTTTCTTGGTAATTCTATTGTTAAACTATTACTATCATTAAACTATATAGTACCTAACGGTAGTGCCACATACTTCAAAGATTGCTTAACATCATTCAAAGTAGAGAAAACCTTGGCATACTTGCTATTTACTTCAATTGTCAATACCTGTTTATAAGATGAAAAGTTGTTGAAGATGTATTTTGCACTTGATGTATGGTATACTAGAAGTAGACAGTCTAGTCAAGGCTTCTTCAGTGCTTGGTATGGGATTATAATAGAGCCTTTTGTGAACCGGACTTCCAAGAGCTGGACAAATGGTGGGATAATATCCGGTCTGGCTATGATGTCATAGTCGTTTGTCGACTTGTGCTTTTGGGTCTGGCCATCTTGTGTTCGATTTCTGTCCTCTTGAGATACCCTTCACCCCCCCAAGCCCCCATCTCAGTACAAGTACACAAAGGCTAAGGCATTACCAGTATCTATGATTGTGGTGTGACCTGTTCGGCCGGAACCCCTATTATTGATTACAGTAACTTGGGGGTAGTGGTACCGGCATATTCATGGCCGAATATGATTGCTCTCCTCTATTCTTTTTTCAAGACAATCGGTGGTCCTCACTTCATTTAGGGGTTGGAAAGTCTGGCCGAGGTGAGTTACCAATAGTCCCGTCAGAGGCTTCAGATTCCGCGAAACCGCTGAAAGGTGTACGGTAGTTCTTGAAACTACTCTTGTCAAAAGCTGCGCTTGAGGGGCACAGCTACAAAATCGTGCTCTCGTGAAGTCATAAAAGTGGTTCTGAAGTGGGTATTGGGGGTGTTCGACTATAGTGTCATAGGTCAGATCAAGGAACCAGGTCACGGGGCCTTCCCGCTGGCCTGTGTTCCTTTATTGGTCTCCTATTATTGAATTTCGCATCGAGCCGATGAGAACCCTGTCAGTGTGCCCTCCGGATTGTGACACTTTTGCACGTTTTCCTTGAGGTATCATTCCAAAGCAGTCACTCCACAGATCTACCTATCTCTTACGTATCCCACCCCATATATAAGTAAATTACCTCCCTCCCCTTCCTCCTGCCTCTCTTTCTCCCCCGCCAGGAACTTCCCGGCTGGATCCTGCGGGATATTAGCACGGCATTGGCCTCGCCCTCTGCTTCCTCAAGCATTTTCGCCTACTCACCTGCCTCTATCCATTCCTAGACACTTCCAGCAGAGGGAGGGGAAGATTTGACGAGCAGCGAGTAAGGCCAATGCCGGGCTCATAATCTGTTGGAATCACCCAGGAGTGTTGCTGAACTTTATCCATTGTGCCTTTAGGAGGTGGGTTTAGCTTCTCGGGTGGGCCCCGAGTGCTGACCTGCGATTAGCGTTAAGTTATGCGGGATTTCAACTTTCCTCGAGAGCTCTCCATCTGATGTTGTATCATAGCCCCTGAGTGTGGTTTCACGGTTCAGCTGCCCGTTTGGTGAGTAGGCATAACGCAATACGGGACATGATCTGGGCCATTTTGTGAACCCTGGTGCCTTATGGGATCATGGCAGTGCGGACTGTTAGGCTGTTCTTGAAATATGGTGCAATGAAATTCGGTAACCCTACCGCTTCGCACCAGAGGGGAAAATTCTCCGTCACCTCCTTTGTGCCCGTTACCCCCCCGCGGTTCATATATACGTACTATACTTCACTTCTCCCCAGCAGCCCTACAATCGCCGGCAATCCTACTCCCCACCTCTGTACGCCACGATCTCACCTTCAGGTTCTCCTCAGATTCGCTGGATGGCTAGATTTAGGTGAATTCTAGGGCTGGATAGTCTATACTAATAATATGATACTTACGTGTTTGCTCATGCACTCACCCCTTACGTATTATTATACACACACACACACCCCTCGTTACCACTCACCTCAACTATCATACAAGAATCCAACCAAACCCTGGCATATCATACGCAAGAGTGACTTCACACATTAGGGCTAACCCACTATCAGCAAAGACCACGGCACCCCTAGTACTGTATTTAAACACCGTCTACCCCGCATCCCTCCTTCATCCACCACCACCGCCAATACACCCCCCACCTTCCACAGGTTATGAGAACGGAATTGGAGGTACCGGTACGTCCTCTCATCGCCCGGTTCTCATCTCCTCTCTTGCTTTGGCTGGGGAATGGGAGGGGGTATTTCCAATCCCGGGCTCATAACCTGTTGATGGTGTTGAGTGTATTGGCCGTGGTGGAACTAGGTATTTTCCTTTTTTTGAGCTGGAACTGGGGGCAGTGGGTGTGAGGTTAGTACTGTTAGCACCCTATCTAACCCAGAGTGTTTGTGAATGGGATTGTTTGGGTGCTGACTTTTGTTTGTTTGGTTAGGTGTGCGTGTGGTAGTTCAAGGAGGAACGAAGGAACGAAGGATAGATGGATGGATGGATGGATGGGAAAATGGATAGGGATAGGGCGTTGGATCAGGTGGGGCGTGTCGGAAAGAAAGTATACTAGAAAAATAGATGTCTGAATTGACCTCTAACGACATGGCGAGCGTCACCAGATGAGTACCGCACCAGTAGACAATGCCCAATAGCACAGTATCTTAGGTCTCCTCCCTTGAGCCAAATCCACACGTTTGACTCTATCAAACACCCCGTCATGAGGCCTAGAACAAAATCCACTCACAAAGTGATACACTTCTACACCCGACCCGCTGCCCAGATCAATACGCTACCCAGTTGTCTAAACGCGTAACCTACCAGGCGGGTAGATGAATGGATGGGTTCCACTGAGATATACGAATGTATAGCAAACTGAAGCAAAAATGTCATATATTTTTTCTCCCGAGAACCTCGGTGTTTGCTAAGTCCACCCTATTGCGAAAAATAAAAAAAAACACCACAACGACTCCCCCTCCCAGGTCAAGTCTGAGAGTAATAATTCATCCCCCCCCGACCCGTGCTTTTTCATCCATGAGAACCGGCCACATATTCGGCGGGAAGAATGCGCGTAAGAATTGAGGGTGAAAGGGGGCGGGCTTTGCCCCGGGGGAAGAGATACGAGCTTGAAGGTCAGATAGAGAAGCAAACCCGGTCTTGGCTTTGCGGGTACTATGCCGTACTGCCGGGTCAAACCACTTTTCGGATTACCGCTATTTCCTCGATAGAATATCATACGATAGATGACTGGCGATGTCCGTGATGAAAAATGACAGCCCTATGCCTTGCGTTCCTCGAAATCTCTGAGTCTATTGAAGATACGCTTCAATGTGACGGAAGTATGCCGAGCGCGGGGTATTGGGACTCGGACCACTGTATATAGATACCTCTCATTGGCATAAGTACTACGGTCATAGGCATAGAGGGATATACAAGAAAGTCGTCGCTTCATCCCGCCAACTTCTTCTGCCTTCTTCTCACAGTCCCCAGTCCCCACTAAGCTCACTAAGCTTGTACTTCTCTTGAATTACCCATGACAAGCAAGCACAATGGATAACCACCGAGTGAGATCCTGTGAGCCAATTCTTCGAGTGCCTGTTAAGCTTTGATAATGTCCTCGTTCATACCCATATATCGCCAATGGGGGTGCTTCACTTTGGGGGGGGGGATGTTGGTTTTTTGGGTAAAAGATATGTCACTGGACTGTGGAAATTGACAGTTGGGATTGGTTTCGTATTCTTCTCTTGGAGTCAAAGCGTCTTGTCGGGGGATGGTAATGTGGAGGGTGTGGAAGGTGTGGAAACTGCTCTCTCAAATTGTCTTTCTACTTCACACTGTAGAGCTGAGCTGGAATTTTCGAATATGCTAACTTGGTGCGATGTATGGTTGTGGGAAAGGGGGGGATTATGGATCATGGGAGCTATAGCAGCGGTCCGAGCCGGAGCCTTGAATCTGCGCCATTGTATCTATCATATCATATGCCTCCCCCACCCCCCAATTCGTCAGGGAAAGAGAGATGCCTGTGAGGGACAGCATCAAGCCCATAGGGACTTGGGAAAATTGTGCCAAGTTGGATTCACAGACTTTTTATCATAACTTTGGGAAATTTTTGGGACTCATAACTTATCTAGCCTTCTGTCAACGCAACCGGGCCAATACCGTTATATAAAAAAAAACCCCCCTCCGAAAACAATAATTGAGAACGACGCTAGGACGTCCAGAATTTTCCTCCATTTGGGTTAAAGCGAGAAAACAATTCGTGGGGATTCCGCTCCAACCCAGCCCCGGGTTGAGACAGAGTAAAAAAGAAAATATCTGCAACAGACCTTACCAGAAGAGGCAACTCCAACGTCCATAGCAAGATTCTCGGTTTTTACTGTAAGTGAGAGGAAGTGAATAAGCCTCCGGCCGTAGACTAGGCGAATCCCGCCCAAATCCTCACTTCAATTTCAAAAAAATAAAAATAAAATAAGCTCACATAAATCACTATCCGGCAAGCCCAACAGAATGGCTTTTTTCCGACCCCTACAGCATTTTTGTTGCAAGTGAAGCGCTGATAAAGTTGGCTCGTGGTCGGTGGAAAGAAGACGGGATTCAACTCCCTCTGCTGAAAGCTTCCTAACTTCAAGGTCCCACCATACACATATCTGCACAAACTCGCGCTGAACCAGAGGCTGATCTGGACTTATATACATCTTACAGGGTAGAAAGTACACGGCAGAGATTTGACGCACCGCAGGCAGGGTCCTCGCCCTGAGAGGGAATCATTGGATAACTTCTGTAGATTAAGAACGTCAATGGCCTTAGTTGTGAAATTTGAAGGGCTCATGATACCCCTTCGAGACTTATCGGCACAGTAGACTTTCACTTGCACGTATGAAGTTACTACTAAATCCTCGAGCAGTCCCCTTAGAACTCATCCTTGGTAGGGATTCGCATACAGGTACCGATGCTGGTCGATTTGGATACACAACAGGTACTGTACGTAGAGCAGCTAGCACACACCACGATTAGAACCGTACGGAAGTCTATCTCAAACTCACCATAGTGTGACCATAATTGCCCGATAGTTACAGGCGGTCTTTCTCTTGGTCTAACGCTTAGTCTATGCGCTGCAGTTGGTGATTTGGAGCGCGCTGGGACTACTCATAACTTACTCAATACCCATTGTCTCGACCCCTTCCCAGCCTACCACATCCCTTCGTTCGTATGCCGAGTTTCACGGAATTTTAGCTAGAGGGATAGAGGAGGTAGACTATGGCGGAGGTCTTCTGATGGTGACCCGGCCAATAAACGTTTCCAACCAGGAGGATCTGCGGAAAATTCATTCGAATAGGTGGGCGTTCCACCTTTTTAGGTAGAATGCGATCTTGATTCTGGTTCCGCCAATACACACCAAGGGATAACCCGTTGATGTCATCGGGCACGCAAGAAGAACTGGTGTCACCAAAAGACCGTTGAGATTCTAGCATTCTTCCTCTGTCACTCTCTTTTTTCCTCTCCAAACAGGCAACCCCCCCAGCATCCAACATCGGTCAATCCTTCAAAATACTCTATCCCTTTTCTCCTTGTTTCAATAAACTTTCTCTCACCTTCCTTCTCGCTCTTCTACTATCCGGTTTCCCACCTTGCGATCTCCCTTTTCACCCGTCGCCTGCGCTCTACTTGATTCCTGTCGAGCATTCTGTCTCGTGCTCAACTTATTCTGCGGCGCACTCCATTCTAATCAGCGCAATAATTGCGCCCCGGGACTAGTCCCCTTTTCGCCCGCACTCGTACCGACACTACTGCGATGTACAATCACCGGCGCGGTCGTTCTTCTTCCGTATGTTTTGTATCCAATCATAAACAAACAAATCCCCCCCCTAACTCACTTCTAACCCTTTCACACTAGAGGCGACCGACACAGCCAACATCCGCAGCACTTATCGCAGCCACAGCGGTATACCGACCGAACACCTCCTCCCTGGATCCCCACCTCGCAGCCGCCGCCGCCGGAGCAGCTCTCCGCCATGTCACCGTTACCCCGACTCCCCCAGGCACGATACAAACGAAGCGCATGCTTCAGCGCCGCGGGAGCTACTCCTCGGTAACACCACCATCGGATAGCGAGAATGGACCACGGTGGGTACAGCGTAGTCACAGCACGAGTAGTTTGACAAGACGAAGGTTCCGGAAACCGAAACTGCCGCCCCCGACGTCTCCCCCGGCGCAGCAGCAATATCACCAACACTCTGGAGCAACAGGTACCCACCCTAGGAACGGAAAGGCTAGGGGATATTTTCCTTCATCATCAAGCGATGATGGCGACAGCGAGGAGGATTCAAATATCTGGCGATCGGCCTCTATACGGAGCACATCCAGCAATCTGTCGTTCCCCTCGACACTCCGAGGCCCTACTATGTCGGGCCAGAAACGCTCCAAGTCGAAACGTGCTCCACCAGCAAGAAGTATGTTATCTCGTGGATCACTAAGGGATTCCAAACCGGTTCCCCCGTCATATTTCGAAGGGTTTCGCCGAAGGTCACCCGAACCTGATTTAACGGCGCAAACCAGGAGAAAAAATCAACAGGCAAATGAGAATGTGTGTCAAGCGGAATATGCTGAGTCTGTCTGTAGCGCCACTGGAAGCGAGCTCGGAAGCATTGCAGAGGAGGATGGAGGGGGGGCTGCGGGGCGGATTATTAGAAATAATGCGCCTCCCAGGATAGCGGAGGAGAGCAGTGAGGGTCAGGATGAGACATTTAATTCCCGGCGGCCTAACAACAAAGTCCATGAAGCCAGTTCTGTTCCAAGAGCCGCCACCCACACCACGTCAGCTTCCCCCACAAGAAAACGTAACTCCCAAAGTCGTCGCCGGGAGCGGTCACTCTCCCCAAGCAGAACCCATTTCTCACTCAACACAACGGAGGACACGCCCACCAAGCACTCCCCCCCCCCAAGATCAGTTTCCCCAGCAAAGAGTGCACTGAAACATCATCCAGCATCACCACCTCCTGTTCCACCCGTCCCCGCGAATACCCACCTGAATAACCCCCCGTCCTCACCTTCCGGACGTAAAACCCGTGTCAGCTTCTCAGATGAAGATAGCGTTGCCAGCTTCATTCATAGCCGTGCGCCAATATCCACAGACTCCACCCCTCCGATACCACCCGTATTCGGGAGCATCCGGAGAACAGGGCGGGGTGCCCCGCAAAATGGGAATGCTAAAAACACGAGGAACAAATCACTCCCGCCAGCAATATACAGCATTAGCCCTCCCCCGAGCAGTAGCTCTCAGGAAGACTTGCGGCTAGAGCAGCATAGGGCGGACACAGCAGGTCCACCAGACGGACGGTTGGGGTATACCCCGCCTGAGACAAATCCTTCTAGTAGCGTCCTTGGGAGGTCTGTTCCGGAGTTGGTGGTTGTGATCCCTACGCCTCTAGAGAAGGGTGAGAATGAGGCGATGGGTTCGGCGGCGCAGGCTCTTGATGGTTTCCCAGCCGGCGAGTCTTCTTCTGCCAATGCTGCTGCACCGGCTCGGGAGGACATCGATAGTGACAGCGACGGAGCAAGCATATACTCCGACGCCTACGACGATTGCTCTTGCAAGGGTGCTCCAGTGCCTAGTATCATGCAAGTGGCCGGCTCGCAGGAGGCCCCTTCACCATTACCACACGTCCCTCGTACGCAGCCACAACCAGGCACTATCAACCCCCCGGATCCTCAAAACGACACCCAAACTACCAACCCCCCAGATCCTCAAAACGGCACTCAAACGTCACAAAAAAATCCCACAAAATCCCACAAAAGGGAATCCCCACCCCTCCCGCCGGACTTCATCCCCGGCTACACCTCCACCATATCCCCTTCTTCCTCTTGTCGCCCCCAATCCCCCATACGAACCCACTCCACCTCACCATCTTCCTCGGATACAGCAAGCATGACCTCAATATCCTCCTTCAAACGAGTGCATCCGCGCCAACCACGTACAGGCATGCGCTCAACAATGCGCTCCGACCCCCCCCCTTCCGCTCCCCGTGACCCCCACCAAAAGCCAGCACCCCTCCGCAAACAAAAGCGAAAACAAATGAAGTCTACCCTCCGTGGCACCAGCCGCATACCAGATTCGTCCAACGAGGATGAGGAATACCGACGGCCCGCACTCCAAAGCTGCTTCGCAGGCTCTGACGATGAAGATTTTGCCATTGGCCCGGGTGCTGGTGGGAAAGGGAAACTGAGGAGGAAGAGACCCAACCGCGGCGCCTTTCCCAAAAAAGAGAAGGATAACGTGGGGAAGGTGAAGAATGGCTTCTGGGCCAGGTTCGGGAAGAGCGAGAAGAAGGATGAGCTCAAAGGGAAGGAACCGGGCGTGATTGGAAGCAGAAGTGAGGGTGCGGCGCTAGCGGTGGCGGCAGCGGTAGAGGTACCTGATGCTACGGCGAATAACGCGGCGCTGGGAAGTAGAACCATTAGGAAGCAGAAAACGTGGCCCGAATCGGGGGTGAAGCCCGTCAGCGCTCATACCAAGAGTCCGCCGCCAAGGGTAGAGGAGAAGAAAGGGTGGAGGAGGCTTTTTGGCAATGGGTAGCTGGCCTATTGGGATTCCTCTTCTGTTTTTGTTTTTCGATACTTTGGCAACTTTGACAGTTAGGGTAGTTTTTATTTCTTATGTGTTATATGGGATTTATGGTAGTTCTTTTTTCTTTCTTCCCTCTTCTTTTTTTTCTCCCCCAGCTCCTCTTCTCCACTTGCCATTCTCTATACATACCATTCAAGCTTTTGTTTTCTTCTCCCCCCCCTTCGGGCAAATCCCCAAGTGTCGGAAGTGCCGAGTGCTCCCGAACGGACCAGTGCACCATACTCAAAATAAAACGGCAAGCAAGTCATCACCCAAGGACCAACCAGAAATACGAAGGGTGCAACACCATAGCACAATAAATAACATGCCACCCATGCACGCTCGTGTCATAGCTTGATATTTGGAAAATTCTGGGACATATTGCATCACTCGGTTGTGAGTCGTTACTGCACCGGTATTTTCTCTCTCGGGCTGGAAGAGAGATAAGCTATGATACTCGCATCATAGATCCCGGGTTAGTTTTGTCCTTGTCATTTCCTGGTCGCGGATGTATATCATATCGTACAAGTGTAAACTTGGATTCTGGTCTTCCTCTCCTTGAGCGAGAGTGGGGGAAGAGGGAATGTCTTGCCGAAATAGACTAGCGCAGGTGTTGTCATACACAATATGATACTTTGCAGTCTGCCAGCTGAAAACAATCTCCCAATATCATTACCGATATTGTATGTATAACGGTTGTCACGACGACTAGAAGCTCGATACAAACCCAGACAAAGCACGACAAAGTTAAAATTAAAAAATCAAACCCCCCCTAGACATCCATTCCATCCCATTCCATCCAGTAAAGAAAAAAATTCTGTCAAGAACAGGCCAAGAAATAGGGTACTGTGCGGATCCTTCTCCTTCGCATCCACCGGACGGATAGATGGCTATGTGGCTAGAGTCGGCCCATCTACCGTGATGTGATCTACTGCGCTATCTTCAACTACCACTCCAAAACCAAGGGTGGCGAGTGACGTTTCATGATCCAGCATACTATATTCCAAATAGTCGTCCGGCGGTTCCGCAAGACGGGGCAAAATTACAATGGACGGATCAACGGTGGCATCATATACGGGTTGAAGGTAGAAGCTAAGAACCCGGAACTACCTTTCACCAATTCCAGCTCATGAGAAAGGCTATCGTCGGAGGAAGATCGTCAGATATTCCAAGAAGCGCAGTGAACCTACCGCAATTCAAAGCCCCCAGAGGTACGACAGCAGGTTGGTAGATAGATAGTAGATGGGTAGTAAGTAGGTAGGCAACTAGGTACGCTAATACTGCTGCTCTCAAAGAGAGCTCCCAAAAGTAGACCAAAAGTGACTAAAAAGCGTTTCAACGAAAGAGGGAAAAAAAGCTTTAATAAAGCTTTGATAAAAAGTATAAAAAGAAACAGTAAAATAGCAAAGAAAAGGTGTATTAACAAATGCCTACAGATCACCATCACACTTCGTAAGTTCGTCACATCGGCGCTCCCCGCCTCATCCACGCTCAAGGTATTCATACTCCCAGATATCAATCCATCCCGTCCGCCCAAACTATATATATTCCCCCGCAAGCCCCGCATAAGAATCGGGAAAGAGAGAAGCGAAAGAGAATAAAAAAAATATTGAAAAATTCGCCCTCATTTCTTCGCCCGGCCAATCAACCACTGAAGCACTGCGTCCAGGTTTGTTTCCTCTTTCGCCGATATCGAGTAGCAGCTAACCTCCCGATTTGTGATGTCTTTCAAATCCATCACCTCGATCAGCTCGTCCACACCGATCTTGTCCGGGAGATCAGACTTGTTGCCCAGTACCAGCAACGGGATTCCGTTCAGCATTGGTTTATGAAGAAGGGAATGGAGCTCGTCTTTTGCTATGGGGATAGAAGAGTCATCTGCTGAATCGACGATGAAGCTGTATATTTTCCGTTCGCTCCCGAATTAGTTTAGCAGGTCGGGGCAATGTAGAAATGAGGTCCACGGGAAAGAGGAGCAGGGAGGGAAGAGTTATTACACGATAGCGCTCACACCCCGGCAATACCGCTCCCACATGGAGCGAAATCGCGGCTGGCCGCCGAGATCCCAGCTATAAGTTCACCCATTCCATAATCAGCTATTTGCTCCTACTAAAAAAAAAAAAAATCCGCCGCTAAAGGCAAAATTGGAAAGCGGGAAGGGAAAGCAAACCATTTCAAGGTAACATGGCCCTTCTGTACCCGCTTCATATTAAATCCTACTGTAGGAATAGAACTAGAGTAACAAATGAAAACCATCCGTTAGTCATTCCAAAATTGCTCTCTCCATTCAGTTTTTTCTTCGTAAAAAAAAACAAAAAAGTTCCGGATTCGAAAAACATTACTCGTATGTAAATTCTCCGCCCTATAAGTGCAAAAGCGTTAAGTTAGCAAGCAAACATGAGGCTATTTCCGCCGCCGCCGGGAAGGAGATTAAAAAGAAACTCACAGCCAAAACTCTTAACAAGGACGTCTTCCCGGCATTCTGTAACCCGATCATGGTTACGTCCATCTCCGTAGCCCTAAAAGAAAAATAAGAGAAAACAGTAAATCATATTAGCCCCCATAGTCGTCGTTGTAACTTCTTCCTTTTTTTTTTTTGCCCTCTCTCTGGTAGAAAGGGTCGATGACGCCATGTTCCTGAGCTTTGCCCTCTTGCTCGTTGCTGCTCTGCTCTGCTTGCTCGGCAATCTGTCTTTTCTGTCGACCGCAGGATCTTGCAGCAAGCAACGGACTGTACGAGACAAGCGAAGGGGGGGAGGAATGTGAAAAGGTCGCATACCAGAACATGCGGAGTAGCCAATCATAGATGCGACGGAAAAAGCCCGACATGGTGGATGCTGATGGGTGTCGGGACACCAAAGTATACGGACGGACGGAAAGGAAGGGAAGAGGAGGAAGGTGTAGGAGAAGGAGGAGAAGGAGGAGGGGAGGAGAGAGGGACGGAGAGAATAACGACTAGCTAGAGTTAAGAAGGTTTGTTGAAGAAGGGTAAAGGGAAAAGATAAAAATAAGGCAATGTTTGGCAAAGGCTCCACGAAACGTGTGGAGTGGGAGGGAATGAGGGAGGGGGGGTTGAGGACGTTGGAGAGGCGGTGAAGAAAGGTCGAGGGGAAGAGAGCGTTGTATGCGGCGGTGGTGGAAAGGGTTGTGGTTCAGTCTGTTCGATCAAGTTGTTCCGTCAGGCAGTTCACTCTCTCACTTTGTCCCCCAGGAGCATAATTTCCTTATAACTCTCTTTCCTCTTTCCTTCCTCCTTTTTCAACGCTTCCTCAAGTTCTCCTTTTCTGTTTTCTTTCTTTCCTGCTGTCTTCCCTCCTCCTTCAAGCTCCATTCACAATATGCGCGCCCAACTCTCTCTTTCTTCTTTACCCTCCTCTCACGGCCTCTCGTGATGCCCCCAAAAACTCTCACAAACCC